CTACTATGGGAACTCGAAATATATATATATAGCCTTTTTCCTTTTGGGATTTCAATATGTCGTCAACGACTGACATTGTTTATAGCTAAATTCGGGGTTCAATATAAATACTAATAAGATTCAAATAAAATTTTCCCTACCCTTTTCCGACTTCTTAAATTTTGCTGAAAATATTTAAAGATTCAAATAAAATTGTCAATAAATGTGACATCAATGCAGACTTGCTCAATGAATTAATGAATGCTGCATGTTTTAATACATGGGATGATTAAATAAACTTAACGGCCATTCTCTAGACAAGTTAGACAAAGAAATGTGTTAGAAAAATGCCCGAGGACAAAATGTAAACTGCAAAGCTATATTCAAGACTCAAGATTGAAGAGCCGAACCAAACAATAACTGAACCAGTTCTTTCTCTATTACACTTTAAAATCTAAGGAATTTGGAACATTTTAATAAATTAGCAAAGCAAAATATATATATATATATATATATATATATATATATATATATTAGAGAAGATAGATTACCGAGGCTCAATTCTTTAACCTCGCAGAAACAAGATCAGGTGGCTGTGGACTTCTAACCATGTGTTACCATGACCACTACAACATTGTTAATTAACGTCCAAATGAAAGTAACATGACATTATCTAACTTTGATGTGAAGTTACAAAACTGGACGAGACTCAAAACCAGTTCAAACTGAAATTGAATAAAACTGGCAGGAGTCCATGCAAAATCAACATCCACGTTTAGGTAAAAAAAAACCGAAGCTGAATTGTTTGGATGGAAAAGGTTGTAGGTGATTATCACATCCCATATAGCCTTGGCCTTGATAAGCATTAATGGCTTTAACTTGCCCTGGACATTGAGGCTCATAATTAACCTCATTGGAACCACCAACAAAGAGCTTCCCTATGAAAACAGCAGGAAGACTTGTATGGGATCCTAATGCTAGCAATGCATTCTCGATCTCCCTTCCTTTGGGATGATAATCAAGCTCATAAACAGTAGGATTCGCCCCGAAACTGCATATCAACATCTTAATAGCATGGGATATGCAGCAGTTGCTCTTGCTGAATATCACAACTGGCTTTTCTGACCCCAATCTCCTCACTGCTTCCATTCTGCTTTTGGGAAAAATAAAATAAAAAGTCGAGAGAAGTGATCAAAGGCTTGAAAATGTGCACTAATCTTGCTTGATCTGATAGGAATTGTAGGACTTGCTTTTAGAAAAAACTGGAGTGCATGAAGGTGTATATGGAATGCTGAAGATGAATGCAATAATTTTTTAACGAAAAGATTATAGGGATGCAAAATATTGCTACAAAATCTGATGCCTGGATCAAATCAGCAGCTATATGAAAAAAGGTTGATATGTCCCGACTAGACAGAATCTCAACTCGCTTGAAGATTCTGAAGTTGGTTTTTTCATGCAAAAAAAAAAAAAAAAAAGGAAAGTAGCAGATGATAACAGTCGTATTTCGCCTTTTATCACATTGATATATTTCCTATACTATTTAAGAATAAGTTATGTTTAAAGGGGGTTTGAATTTCAACAGCATGAATAGGGGCTTTTGGAAATGTGAAATGTTGTATAGTTTTTTTAGAATTTTTGTTATTGTTGAAGGCAACATGTGTTTAGGTATATTTATCAAAGTGCTCTTTTTGTACGTTTAAAACTTCGATTTATGGGATAATTTCAGAAACCTCCCCTGAGCTTTGTTATAATATCACTCAACTCCTTTCAAGTTTTTAAAATCTCACTTACCTCCCCTCAAGTCTTAATCCAGAATTTGAGTCAATCATCTAGTTAATTTCTTGCCAAGCGATAAATGCATCACACGACTATATTTTAGATTAAAAGTGTGTTTAATTAAATCCTACGCCTCTCTCGAGTCGATGGTCATAAGAGTTCAATTAAATCCATTAAAATTCTCAGTAATATAGGTGTATTACACATAATATAACCTATTCTCGTGATTAGTCTACGTGTGTTTATCTATTTATTGCACGGTTGTATCTCCTTTCTCAAGAGAAAAAGAAGCTATTGTTTATCCAGTTGACTGACCCCCCTAGCCCCAATAGCAAAAAGAATCTCCCACCCAAATCTAGAAACAGCGTAGAATCCTTGACTAAACCAAACGAGGGGCATGCCATAAGGCTCAGCATTTAGAAGGGAGAAGAAGGTACCAAGAAGGGCTCAAGCAGATTCTCCACGATCTTGAGACTCGCCCACCATATATAGATGCCTTTCTCCACATGATAAATGGACTAAGTAATTATATGCAAGGTACAATCATATTTATCCTTCATATCTCATCATATATTCCTTGGGAAGAAAAACATTTAATGACAACTAAGGGTCAGTTTGTACCTTTTTTTTTTTTGTGTTTTGTCGTTTTGCTGCGTTAAAGAATCTAGGCTTCCATTTCAAAATCGATTAGCACTAAGTGAAGGGATTCAAGATCTTCATTAATCATTTTATTGGTTAGTCTCCCAACCAATATGGATTATTTAAGCTTTAATCAAACTGAATTGCTCTTTTTGACGAACTCTTAATAGCTTCCAACGCTAGTCCCTGTCAACTATTAGCAAAAATCTGCCATGTCCATTCGCCACACCGAAGGCATATATCCTGTGAAAAACGACATCAGAAATGCAACGACAGCTTGCATATCTCATCTTCTTTTCTTTTCTTTTTTTTTTTTTAATTGTTCTTGTAAGCGAAGAGTAGGAAGAGAATAAGGGAATTAAAAACCTAATATTGCTAAGGGCTTTTGTAATGGATGCTCTAAGGGCACCGTTAACACATCCAATATTCACCTAACCAACCATATATATATATATATATATATATATATATATATATATATATATATATATATATATATATATATATATACACACACACACATATATACTAACAATTATTATCTTCTCCTGCATTTATATACTTTTCTTATTTAATTTTGTCTACCCTCTCTTGTATTTATTTAATTTCCCTAATTAATTTTGTAATTCCAAAAATTATAACACCTGAAATATATTTTAACAAGTGCCCATAGAACACCCGTTGGACAAATCATATTTCTAATTTCTGGAGTTACAACCTTAGCTATGAGGCCATTTGCATCTCTCATCTTAACTATTCTAAATGTGCAAATGACCTCCAACATTAATTTGTGAACATTACTAGAAGAGAATCGCATGTAGCTGCATAAATCCTTCATGAAAAAGGAAAAAATCTTAGGACACGAAGATTATCTTTATCTGACAAGATAGAGTACAATAAAAAAAAATTCTCCATTCAATTCAAAGTCTTGTATATTTTGGAAATCATGCGTTGTTTCTACAATCATCTATAAGCGACCATGAATTAACGACTATTGAATATTGTCTCATGATGCTGAGTAGTCGCACTTTTATAAGCAACCACACCCATTGGATCAATGCGAATGGACTTACCCCTAAGTATTATTTTCTTTCTTATTAACTAGTAAACTATTTTCGAGTTACATTCTAAGACACTTCGTCTGTAACCGACAAATTACAGATTCGAATCATCAAGGGATAAGTAGAGAATTATTCTTGATCCTCTCAAAAAAATCTATAAAAAAAAAAAAAAAAAAAGTTACAATACCCCTTAGGAGCTTCAATTTCCCCTGTTTTTTTTCATCAATTATTCTCGTTGTATAAAATTTTGTTCAATGCCATACAACAAATTAAGTTTGTCCAAATCGAATATAATTTTTTCATCAGATGACATGCACTTGCTGCATCAAAAGATAAATAGACCACCAATGAAACCAACGAATTTGTGGATTTAAGAAGAAAAATATGCATCAGAGTTACATATTTGTCCATAAATCATTGGTCATATAGAGCTCGTATTTGTCCTTTTATTTTTTCGTGTGTGTCAATACATGTTTTCACCCCAAATATTTGAATTAATTCATGCAATTTTTTACTGTTTACCTGAGTTGTCAAAATCCGGCTCAATTATTGATGAATTGATGGAACTTTTGCTTTTTCTGTCTTTTTTTCGCCTTTTACTCTTTAATTGGCTGCGCAGTAAAAATCTAGTAACATGGTTAATAACTCAACCATCATTGAAACTTGAATTTTATTACCAACAAAGAAAAAATTCTTGAATTTACAACCTTTTCATCTCATGACTTCGAATTGTCCTTTTTTTTTTTTTCTTATAATTAGAGACGTTAGAATTACAAGTGCAACAACTCATAAAAATTGCTGAGAGGTCAATAAAGGCCAGCACTTAGCAATAATGGTTTTTGGTTGGGATCGGAGATAAAAAAAAAAAAAAAAAAAAAAAAAAGGTTCACAGAAGCAAAATTTCTTCTGCTGCCAGGATTCGAACCCGGCTACAGCAGATTTGCCCCTTGTTGCTTCCAAGAGTCGGTTTGACATTAGCTATTCTTTTCCGTGAAAAAAATTTTTATCTAGTGACTAAGATTGAGACGTCTGGATATTAGAGATTCTAAATTTAAATTCCTCCTTTCTTTTCCGTGCTTCTTGAATTTCATTCCTCCCAACTAGCCACCCAACAACAAAGAACCTGATCTAGTTAGTTTGATTATGTAGCAGATTAAAAGTAGGGGAGAAGATAACTCGTAAATTAGCTAAACTCATTTCTTTTCCATTTGCATTTTGAAACTGAAGCCTAGTGAAACAGGATATAGTGGCATGGGTGGTCTCCTAATTAATACTTCCTCCGTTCCAATTATTTTGTCATGTTTCGAAAATCTAATTTAGTAAAAAATAGTAATTTGATTGTAATATTTATATTTCTCTATCTAATTTTACCCGTAGAAATTCAAAATTTGAGTTTGAATGATAACATGCATATAATTAAAGATAAGAATTATACTGGAAAAAAATATTAAAAAGTATTTTGACTTTTTTAACATAACAAATATTTTGAAATATTTCAAAATAAAAAATATGATACTTTCAATGGGACAAAAGGAGCACGAGTTACCATGATATATATGACCCACTAGACATTTTTATTATTTCATAATGAGAGTACAAGAACGTAATACATATAACTTTGATGTGATATAACTCGACGAAGACTCGAAACGGGTTTAAACTAAAATTTAAAAAAAAAAACTGGTAGGACTCCATATATGCTAAAACGAGACAGAAGACCTAGGCTGAATTGCTTAGATGGTAAATTCTACGTGTGTTTATCACATCCATATTGCCCTGGCCTTGATAAGCATTGGCTTCAACTTACCCTGGACATTGAGGTCCATAACCTCGTTGGAACCACCAACAAATTGCTTCCCTATGAAAACGGCAGGTACACTTGGGTAGCATCCTAATGCTACCAATGCATTCTCCATTTCCGTTCCTACTGGATGTTGATCAAGCTCATAAACAGTAGGATTCGCCCCGAAACCGCATATCAGCATCTTAATAGCGTGGGAAATGCCGCAGTTGCTCTTGCTGAAGATCACCACTGGCTTTTCTGACCCCAATCGCATCACTATATCCATTCTACTTCTGGCAAAAATGTGAAATCAAGAGCTATGTATGAATGTGCTCCAGCAATTGAGTTAGTTGATAGGAAGTTATAAGGCTTGCTTTGGGTGAAAACCTGAAGCGCATGAAGGTATATATATATAGAGGGCTGGCTGAGAATGACTGGTTGCAATATCTCTTTTTTGGATAACAACAAAAGGGCTATAAGATTACTGTTGCAAATTTGATGCTTTGGGGGCCGGGTCACATCAACAGCAATATGATAAAGGATTGATATGAATCTCAAGCTGCATTAGCATTCTGGCACTGGTTTTTCATGCAGAAAAAGGAAAGTAGTCGACGATAACAATCTTTTTGCCTTTCCATGATGCTTAGTGCATGCGGATACTACTGCTCATGGAATCGATGCGGGAGCGGGGCATGCACGTACAGTTGTGTTGTATTTGGTTTTGTCCAGTTATTATACATGTTATGATTAATTATTGTTGTACAGCCACATAATTTTATTTATTGTACCAATTATGTATGAAAAATTTAAATTACAGTATATCAAAATTTTCACGAATACAACAATATAATGCTATTATATGTATATACCAAACAATGTAACATGTATAATAATCGCAAGAATCGCATGAAACCAAATAATATTTCGTTTGCATCACAAACACATTTTCCAATTCACCTTTTTATATTCTCAACTACTTTTTATCTCACATACATCACATCATAAAAAGTGCTACAGTAATTATTCTAAATAATACTCTATCCAAACACACTCAATTTTTTGTTTTAAGTTTTTTGTCCCAAAATATTACGAAAGAAAATGATAATTATATGCAAAGACGGGCACACAATGGCATTACTGAAGTTAAAGTTCAGCCCAATAAGGTAAAATTAGTTGCAGAGTTAGGACCTAATGTTAGATAGGGCAATTACTTTGATGCATAATGATGCGGTACAATTAAGGCAAAATTTTTTGTTGAAAAACTTTAATAACTAGTATGACAATGGTGTGAAATTTGTTAAAATTGTATAGTGTTTCACAATAATAACAATTAGATGAGAATTATTTTTTCATACAATTAATAGACAACAAAATCTTTATGTACCAAAAGTTTTAAATTTTATTTTCTGTCTGCTGAATTCTCAACTAGTACGTACTTGGCTTCATTTCAAGCATTCCATTATTCATAAATTAAGTGATAATTGTAGATTTCAAGAACTCAAAGGGGCAAAGTAATTATGAAATATAAGAAAATTTTAAAAAATTTTTAGGGGATGCAATTATATGACAAAATTAAAATTTTAAAATATTTCCAAGCCTATTTCAAAATACTTCAAAGTTGAGGTGAAGCAATTGCCAACCTTCACTTGAATGTGGCTCTACCACGGGCTAAAATGACAAAATATTAAAATAGGAACAATTGTAATGTAATTTCCAAACCAAGCATTGAGTTCCCTAAAGCCAAAGCCTTTCCTCGACAATGTTGAACTCAAAATTATAAGGACAGGGAGATTAGCAATACTCTCAAATTAATATGATATGGAAAGACTAATTTACATACACAAAATTATGAGTGAAAAAAATTATAAAATCTACACTACATTACTATCAAGCACTGAAATTAAGACCCACAACGCTCACTCTTCTCAAACAAATACAATAACAAGACACTTTACTTATAATTCATGGGCGATAAACAAGAAACAACCATGCACCACAAGAAATTACCCAAATATAGTACTATTGAAACTACTAGAAATAATTGACTTGACCCAAAACCTACTAATAAAAAAATTTGAATTTTATAATATAATTAGACTTGTTTTAATATGCGAATAGGCAATATGAATTTTACAAATCTGGCCAGAAATATTAAAACAATTTTTCTAAAACATCCCTCTTAATAAAAAGAGAAAATATGTTATTATTTACCTAAATGAATCATCCCTCAACCAATATAAGGAATCTCCCCCTTCAACAGAAATAATAATGATGATGATAATAATAACCAGATAATTCCTTCTTTTTTTTTTTTTTGTGGACGAGTTAAAATTTGTTCCAAAGTGGCAAACTGTATGATAAAGCTGATCCAGAAAATGACCTACAATAGAACAAGCTAATTCTCCACCCATCCATTTCAAGAAACAGCACACAATCTTCGGGTAAATCATTAACCATGAATGATGAGCACCTAATTGATCCGTGCAAAAAGGACGAAGAAGGTATCAAGATTAATGGCTCCAAACTGTAGCAGATTCTCCCTTTTAAGCAATTTTCTTCTTTATAGCTAAGAATATGCTTTCTTGATTTTCTCCACATGATCATATTGTCTTTGCCCTCTTATCATATATTCCTTGATCATACATGTAGATGCTTAATGGAGCTAAAGGTCGGTTCTGTAAGCTTTTTGGAAATTAGATTAAAGGGCTGAGGATGAAGCCCTCATGCTGTCATGCATAAGGTACAAATCTTAATATTTTGATTTTGAGCATCTTAAAGTTGATCAAATCTGTTCTTAAGAACTAAACAAGGAGAAGAATGAAATGGGGAAAAAACAAAGATTAATTTTTAATACATTATTGTCAGTGTAATGATTTATTTTATATTAACAGATTTAGATGCAACTCTTTATCGAATTTGAAATCTCCCTTTTGCAAACTCTATCATGCATCCACGTTTTTGTAAAAAAGCTTTTACAATGACAGTAAAAGAAAAAACAATTCATAACAAAATGCTTGCATTGCAAATTGAAGCCTATTCTCAAACAAGAAAAAAAAAAAAAAAAAAAAAAAGTTCCTTGACGGTATATGATATCCACTGTCTTGTGATTGAACTCTTATATATGAATTTTCCACCTTGTTAAACAGTTAACCTTGAGACCCGTAAAAGATAGGTATAGTGTAGATTTAAATTCATGTTCACTATTGGAACAAAATCCACGTTGACCCCAATACCTACATTAACCATATGATCACGAAATTTTTAATTCGACTCTCAAACTCTCCATTTTATTTTGTTTTTTTTTTTAAGGCTTGAAATCTCCCTAGATTGAATTAAAAACAAACAAATATATGGATATTGAGTCTTCGAGTGCTCTTGTTAATGCTAATGTTGATATGGAATCTGGTGTCCTGAGCAAAATTGTGGTTAATATCTCTCATTCTATAAATATTTCAGTTGACGATCATGTGAATCATGTTCAATCTCCTCCTTTGCTCCATGATGTATAGTCTTATGGTTTTGATTGATACTGGGTTGGGATCAAATATTTCTGATGCATCTCTCGTGTAGGTTAGGTCTGATGAGGGTGCTTGCAGTAACTCTCAGGTGGATCCTTTTTTGTTGACTAATGATTTATGGCAAATGAATCTGGTTGGTAATTATTCCAGCATTTCACAAAGTGCCAATAATGATAACAATGAAGAAGATCATTATTCACAAAATGAAAGGGATGAAGCCCTTAGTGAAAATTAGTTTATCCCAATAATTTCAAAGAAGGTCAAGGGACAGAAGGGAACATTCAGAGTCTAGCTAGCAAGGCGATGCAAACACAACAAAAGTTTAGGATTAATCTTCTATACACTAACAGTGTATACACTTTCACTATTAGATGCATGACACATAATTCGAATTTGAATTTGAAACTCAAATATTGTATATGTGTCATATATCCAATCGTGATAGTGTATACACTGTCAGTGTATATAAATTTATTCAAAAATTTAAATCAAAAACTCAAACCAATCCATTATACTACAAACGTGGAGCGTGTTGAGATTATTTATTATTAAAATTTGTCAAGTTTACATTTAGTCAAACTCGGGGGTACGTATAAACCTAATTTTTTATGAGAAAAATAATATAAATAATCCCCCCAACCCCCCCCCCCCCCCCCCCCCCCCCCCCCACAAAAGAAAAGGTATTTGATTACCACTATTGCAACTTAGACACATAACATTTATCCTCTTGGAACTTTAGCCTATCACAAGGCTGGCATCGTTCATAACTAAAATGGTTATTAATTATTTAACCTTTCCCAAAAAAAGTGCTTGATTTTTAAACTTTCTCTACAAATCAGCTTTGGAAAAATGTGCACCACTTGTAGCAATGTGCTTTTCTCACCAATTCCACAAATAAGTGGAGCCCAAAGTTTTCATTTTTCCTTTTTTTTTTTGGGTTCCATTCTTGACCTTTAGTGACCAAAAAAGGTGTATGGGGCGGAGGGATTCACAGCAATTAAGAGTTGAAAATGGCTGGAGTTTATTAGTGGACTTAGTATCTCTAAAGAGGAAACTGGAATTGACTGTTCAATTGACAGCAATAAGAGCTGAACTTGATGTATCATTGCTAGGGAAAAATATGCCCTATCCTTTCAGGTTTTAAGTAACCATTTCTCTCAAATAGCAAAAATATGAGAACATAACTTATAACTAAACCATTTCTTCTCCATGACACTGTAAATCTAAAGAACTTGGTAAAGTTTAATCAATTAATTAGCAAAGCAAAAGTACGAGAGAAGATAAAAATTGGCTGAACTCAATTCTTTTCCATTGTCACTTTAGAACTAAAACGTCACAGAAACAAGGATCGATCAAGTGGCATGGACTCCTAAATATGAGTTACCATGACCACTATAACATTTTAAAGACTCAAAACCGGTTAATACTGAAACTTAACAAGACTGGTAGGAGTGCATGCTAAACCTACATTTGCCTTTAGATGGCTTTCTTCAATTAAAAGACAAAACAAGAAAGAAAAGTTTCAGTTCGATGGTAAATTCTATATGTGACTTCTACATCCATATTGCATTGGCCTTGATAAGCAGTGGCTTCAACTTGCCCTGAACATTTAGGTTCATAACCTCATCAGAACCACCAACAAGTAGTTTCCCTATGAAAACAGCAGGAACAGTTGGATGGCATCCTAATGCTAGCAATGCATTCTCAATGTCCCTTCCTTCTGGATATTGATCAAGCTCATAAACCGTGGGATTTGCCCCGAAGCTGCATATCAACATGTGAATAGCATGGGATATGCAGCAGTTGCTCTTGCTGAAGATCACCACTGGCTTTTCTGAACCCAATCTCTTCACTATA